GGATGTAAGGAATGATGAAAATGATTTTCGGAGGAGATGCGGGTTTGGATCAGCCGAAGCGCTGCGGAGGTTCCGCGGTACAAAATGTAATGAGAAATAACTCGCGCTTCCTATGAGGCTTCTCAAAATAGTCTGCAAATCTGCGGAAACGTATTTGCAAGCCAAAGGCATGTTTTACACACTACAACAAACAGAAAACCTTCTCCAAGAAAAGCTTTGTGAAGAGCTTTCGTAAACACAAAGAAGCAGATGGTACTTGAGGCACCATCTGACCGACGACTTCATAAAAACTGGCAATTGAAAGGTTTTTTCCCATACAGCAAAGCACCTGTCTGCGATTTGCTCAACGTCTGGTGGAAATAGATGGAAAGGAAGCAGAGTGGCTCGTAAAAGTCATCAAAGACGTGGTGACCTAGATCCTGCGGAAGTTTCGATATTTCCCATGTGTCATAAACTGCTTGGCTTAATATACTAGGTATTTTTAAAAACCGTTCTAATTCTGTACATTAGCTGCGGAACAACTGCGGATGCACCAGCCTAAGCCCTGCGGAAGTTCCGACATTCTGCAGATGTCATTACCAAGTAAGTTTTGAAAATGTTTCTTTTTCAGAAGCTTCGGAATGTTATTTAGCGATAAGTTTGGGAATTATTGAGAAATATTTTGTACTTGATAAACAGTGCAGATGTGCGAAGATCCAAAATCTAAGTCCTTCGGAAGTTCCACATGACATATGTGCCAGAATATCTCACTTTTCGCAAGCACTCACAAAATATTCTAGAACTTCATGGAAAAATGCATTCATGAGCTACAAAAAAATTTATTTTAGAAGTTCTCTCGAAATCTAATTAGATTCGCAAAATTTCGTTTCAAAAAAGTGAACAAGAAATTATTCTACAAATATTTCTGATTGAAGTCGACTTCCTTACTCTTTTGATCAGGGTAAATCAAATAAAGAAAAGTACGAAGTTGCCCATACACAAAAAGTAGGCTTTTGAAAAATGAAAAGCATTGAGTCATCTTATCTCATTTTGAAAATTCAAGGCTAGGCTAGAGCGGCAGGAAAGAACAGCCATCACTTCTAAAAAACAGCTCCCAAGATATTTTTTTCGCTGAACCACACATTCATCCCTTCCCAAAAAGTTGTTGTTTATGAGGCAATTTACTAAAGATTCAACACAAAGCCCCGTATGCGAAAAGCCCGCCAACTGACTGTGCAAAAAACCACAATCGCTCGCCCCATCTACCCAAAAAACCACAGAAATGAGCGTGTGGCCAGACAACTTGGGCAGGCGGACCGGTTCCGTACTTGCAAGAATTCATAGCGAGACGGGTAACGGTACTAGCCTGAGGTAGGCG